TTCCGGTTCGATCTTTCGAACACTAGTAACGCCCCATGTGGTTAATGTCACACCGCCTAATGATGAAATAAAACCTTACTAAAAATATATTGTAGACAAAACAATGGAATATAAGAATCTAATATTTGTTGAGTACAATTATAAAATGATCTATAGTGTGAGCACCCTAACACAACCCTTAAAAAAAAAATTGAATTTTGAGTTTTTGAAATTTCTCCCTCCAACAATGAATTGTTCTAATTCAATCTGGGGTGCCATTTTTTTAGTCACATTTAGCACACAATATTTCTTTCCTTTGAGGTTGGTATGGATATTGTATCCCAAAATTTGGCATCCAAAAAGTATTCTTAGCTTGAGTTTTATTTAATGAAGCAAATGGGTAAGTATACTTATGTGAGAGTATGAAATCTTTTCATATCACGAGATGCATACTTCCAAAAAGAAATGCATTTTTGATTCATAAGTACTAGATCTGACCATCCAATAATTGAGCAATCTCTAATTCGCCAGTAACATGGTATCTTAGCTTGCATGTATACAATGGGTGTGACTTTATTTTAAATTGGAGTATAAACGATAAGATCATTTACTTTGTATAAAGGTTACAATTACTTTTAGCTATTGAATATGAAATCCACCAAATTGAAGGGTGTTCCAGTATTCGAGAGATTTTCTTTCGAACTTTGTGCCTATTCAATGATATTTTTATAACCATCTCATATCTCACGATCAATAATGATTGTGACATTCTTATCTCATAAGTAGTTAATCTTATTGTAAACATTTCCTATTTTATAAGGTTTGAGGAGGTTACATCCCCAAATTTAAAGTCTTAAGAGCAGTCTTAGACACAAGGAAAATATAAGAGATGCTCCGGCAAAAGTACATACTATTTCATATTTTTTATTTGTATTGTTGTTTCGTAAAGATCAAGCCAACACAAGTGAACTTAAATGACTTATGCAATATAAATGAGAGACATATTTTTTCCAATAATAATCATCATTATAGTTTTTTTCCAATTAATTGAGGTAGGCTACACGAATCGTGGTTTATCATTCTGCTATCTTTAAGGCTATACCTTTAGTGAGACCATAAGTCCCCATAGTTTTCTGAACTATTTTCAACAACGTCTTTTTTAGCCTTCCCATATTTTCTCTAATAATAATTACTATAAAACCCATCTCCACATTTTAACACCCGGGCAATTAAGGCTGAATTTAGGAGTATTGACAATAGACATTTATGTCTTAATTTAAGGTAACAATTTACAAAAAGAGAAAAAGACAATTAAGAGGATGGGCCACTATATTTAAGAGTAATTGTCATTCCAAAGTTTACTCTAATCTAATTCCAAATTGCTTGCATCGTGATTATATCATTGCATGCAACCATGCATGAACCTACACCGGATAGATATAGCTGATAGTGTGCCACATGTGAATGTAACTTCACATCATGTGAAGTACATTGCATGTGTTGATAAATACAACCATGAAAAATACAAACAAACACAAACATTATGTATCTGTTTTTGCCGACTACATGATGTATGTATGTATGTGAATGGTGTACAATAAGTCTATCTATGGGTGGATGGATTAATATTAAATGATCATTTGAATGCATTTTGGGTCATTTCAATGCACATTTTGGAGATTTTTGCACCTTGGTAAGGAAATATACACGATAAGACTGTTTGCTTTAGATACAAGAAGTTCATAAATATTAGTGACAATTATATGGGAAATTAGGTAGTAGAGGATGTGTTATCGATTGGGTACAAACTCAAAATAAATTTTTTCAAATATTGTAACAACACTTTAATTTGTCGGATATGGCATCCAAGGGCTAAAAATAATTATAAACTTATTGTATTAAAAGTAAATAATAAATAATCTTATAATATACAATCCCCTCAAGTAATCATGTCTATATACATGCGGGACTTGTATTTACAGGAAAATGATTACATAGTCCCACATGACCAGATTCCTTATTTAGTCCCTCAAAGTTTAAACATCGTGCTATCGGTGATTTGATAGACCTTCTCAAATCAAGTCCATGGCTAAAAAAGTGTTTGGAGTGGTGGGTCATCATATATGGAAATTTATGAGCTCAAAATGATTTTGCATTTTCTAGTGTTAAAAAATCATTGTTTCTTGTTCGAATTACGAAATATAATTTTGGTGTAAAAAATCCTTAGGATGGCCTGAGAATTTATTTTCATCTGATTATAAAATTTTAAACTCCAAAATCAAATAGATCTATAGATAAAAATCTTGAAAATTGACAGTCTAGATAATGTATTGCAATATGCATCATTTTTTGGACTCGAAATCTTTTTTATTTTTGTTTTTTTTTCCATATATCTTGATGTCAAGATTATCATTTAGACGGTTTTCCAACATCGAAATAGCCTTTTCCAATAGATTTTTGAAGTGCACGTTAATTCTACAATTTAATAAACTTTGTGGAATGATTTCATGCAACGGTTGTATAACAATATAATGCAACCCATCTTCAAAAAACCATGTTAGAGACATTTGTTTGATACGAATTTTTAAATGTACCCTTTTTTCATTCCAAAGAACAATCACAAATTGTTTTTTTTTTTTTGAAAAAAGGCCCTAGGAAGTGTTTTTCAAGCCTAATTAATATAAGCTATACATTTTAGTGAGATCGTTAGATATAAGCCTCAGAAGGATTTTTTTATTCCCAAAATATTTGGACAGCGTTATCATCATTAGATTAACAATGCTAGAAAAGGAAAAGGTGATTTTGAATTTGCAAAGGCCTAGATCTTGAAATTCACCAAATAGATTGTCGAGATTCATTGTTGGAGGGCACTAATTTTGACCATATCTAAAGTGCAAATTGAATTTTTTTCATATGATTGATTATTAGGACGAAGAGAATGTGTGTACTAAATTTGGGGTTATACAAATGCCAAAAACATGGTTTTCTAGAGGTGTGGCTGTATTATACTACTGTACAACCCTTGCATGAAATTATTCACATAAACTTTTGGACCCGGTTTTTATGCGGCCAAGCCCGCACATGTAGAAATGCGGCCGCTTAATAAATCTATTTTTGAGATAGATTTTAAGACTCATATTGTACATGGGTAGGCCCCCTCCCAAATCTATCTTAAAGATGGATTTTTAATCCAGAATTTTGGAGATTCATATTCTAGGTTAAGATGATCATGAATATGAAAAAATAAAATAAAATTTCCAATATTTAGAATGTGATTCTTTTTGGTATATTTCTACACCCACTGTATTTATTGTAGTATCTCAAAGATGTACTTTGGCGAGAACTAACTTTTCTAAAAATACATGATCATGAGTTGAGAAAGGTCCAAATATATAAAAATATTAAATAGAGAATCTCTCATGAATATTCTTTTGATAAATTTGTTAATAAAACATCAAAAAATATCAACATCGACAATAAGGAAAGTCAAGGTTCCAGCATTGAAGTTTTTCTGAAAGGTAAATGAGGCCAAAACAACCTTTCCACCTACCCCTTATGAGCAGCATAAAGGAAGCTTAGCGGCCTCAAGTTTTTCAAACGCTAAAGGACAAATGTGTCTATATATATAGAGAGAGAGAGAGAGAGAGAGAGAGAGGAGGGAGGGGACGACGCCACTCATGAGTAGAGAAGTAGTAGTTAGTTAGTCGACAAAGTAAAGAGACGAACAACATGTATTACAGTAATTTAATACTAAATAAAAGTA